TGCTACAAAACGAGGAGCGAGACCAATTCCACCAATACAAATACACACATTAATCAAATAACTAGTTTAATAAATTCGCTATTCTGATTAAAAATTTGTTTCAACAAAAATAGAGGCAGCGAACTGAATCACCCCTCTAGCTCTCAGGAAAACTCAGCCTTTCTTCTGTATTATTTCGTCGAACAAACAAAGGTAACATGGGGTCGTTTTACATGAATTTCAAGATTCTACGAAGACAGTAGTAGTAGCTGCAACGAAGGAGAAAGGAATGAAGGAGCATAAGGAAGGAGCCCCAAGGAAATGGGGTGTCCCGTTCGACTGGAAAGGCCGGGAGAGACCCGGGAGGGTTGCGACCCTCGCACGTCTAAACGACTTGACGACGCAACTACACAAGAAGCTGTAGCATCAGCAAGAGTACTTGTTCGCCAGTGTAAGCTGTTCCTGAGCCAGGAAGCAAATCAGCAGACGTTTTGCATATGAACTGCTGTTGAATATTAACGAGATGCCGAGTTCTATCTCTTCTTCTCTTTCGCGCCTTCTCTGTTTCTCATTCGCTCTCTGGGCTGTTGCCTCGTCCCTTGATGTATCTCGTAAATTCACTGTATCCACAAATTTAATCCGCCGCCAACCGGGATTACGCTTTGCACAAATTTTATTCAGAACGTTGCAAAACAAAAGACGTGTTCGAAACGAATGCGTTATCTATGTGTATGGGCTTGTTTCAAATCATCATCTCACCGTCTTGTAAACAATTAAAGACTTATTCAATAGTTTAAATATTAAAGGTTGATGTTTTAATCGATGACTGTTTAAGTCTGTGCTAGTCAGTAATTTCATGTTTTGATAACAACCGTGGTTTATCAAGTCATTATCATCATAAGGTCGTCAGTCCTAAGACTGGTTGGACACGCACCTCCAGTCTTTCCTATCCTGAGCTAATCTTCGCATTTCCCCAAAACTAGAACAATCCACATCCTTGACTATTTGTGAACAGTAATCTAATATAGGCCTACCTCCACCCCTCCTAACTCCCATTGCTGTCACCAATATGTCTCTGACTAAATCTTCATGCCTGAGAAGGTGTCCTACCAACCTATCTCGCCTATTTCTTATTGACTTCCATAGAGTCCTCTGTTCTCCTATTCTTCCTAATACCTCTTCATTTCTAACCTTCTGTATTCACGGTATCCTCATCATTCGCCTGTAACACCACATTTCGAACGCTTCCAATCTTTTCTTTTCCGCAGTGCCCACTGTCCATGTTTCGCACTCCTCCAAACATCACCCTCAACAATCTTCTTCATACTGACTATCTTTTATTGCATTTTCTTGATGGTTTTGTTACCTCTAGGAATCCGGAACGATGGAATTACTCGTATATATTTGCATATTGTTTCCGTGAACACTTTATGTATCAAAGTCAATTTCGAAAACAACAGTTCGCTGCCAAAAAAGTCCCAGTCATCATCACTGTCCGCCGCTTGGATTCGGTTCACATACAACAGTCAGCCGTTGGGGCCCTGTCGTTGTAGCTGGTGCTCCGAATGCAAACATCTCCATCAAAGCGGGCGTGGGGAGTCTTCTAATTGATTTCTTGAGGCATCTTTCACTTGGCCTCGGACAGACTGATAAAACGCATTGTCTCGACTTGGCAACCGGTCGCCTTATCGCCATACACGATCTGATAGCGTATTCCGGAATAAATAATAATAATCGATTCTTGTAACGTCTTCTTCTTCTGCTAGTCATCGGCTTGAAGAAGAGATGAAGATCGAAGAAGAAGTAGAAGAGCCCCTTCGTGGGTTCGTTCTGTCTCTGTTTTTCTCGTGTTCCTTGTTCTTGTCATCTCTCGACTCCTCCCGCGGACAATATGACGACTCAATCTAAAACAGCGCGAGCCGGCCCTATGAATTAATGAACTTGATCTGAACTGATACCATTCAAAGGAATGTCATACGTGCAGAGATAGCTGCGGAGATATCCGGATTCCGAAGCATTCAACTGTTAACATTTGCAGCCTGTCTAATAGATCACCGATCACCATCGAAAGCTTTTTTTCGTAGTTTTATGGATTAAATGTGGATTTTATAATACCATCATCATGTGGTAGTTATTATTTTCATTCGCACAATTAATGGACACGGGCCAGATTTTATACCATTATCATTACTATGGTTTGGTTCCTTCACAAAATAAGCTATTGATTCCATTCTTATTGCCCGGGTGGCAGCTACAGATTTCATATAATTTCCATGGATTAGCTATGTTATCCATTTCATTGGAGCTTTGGCAGCATCAAGATTTTCTTGGAACAGCAATTAAATCCATTTCGTGTTAAACTTTTAGATTAAGTATGGATTTCACTCTTAAGGACTCATCATGAATACATCATGGATCATTAGTTTTGGTGGTAGTTTTTGCAATAACTTTCATAGACTAGCTACTATGAAATCCATGCTATTGTGATCATCTTTCTTTATAATTTTTTATCGTAATCGTTTGGCTTCTTTTTATATTCCGAATTGGAGGACTTGTCGTTATTCTCTTTTCGATTTACTTAAATTTGCATGACCGTGATGACACTCCTAATAAACTTGATACGAATCAATTGGAGGCAGACATTTTCATTGTGACTTTTCTCCATGTCGTTGAAAAGAACATTTCGTTTATTGGACTTTTTGTTAAGTTCGTTTTTCATACGAACAGTGTGTGAAAGAATAATAAATATCGCGTTGTGCAAAGGTGAATGTCACCAGTCGTCGAAGAGCGGCACAACCGGTTGGTCATTAAACTGACTGAAGCCTAAAGTGCATCTTTCACGTGGTGCTCTTGTCCGACTCTAACTCTTTCAGCTGGCATTTATTTTGTCAGGTGATTCTCGATTTGTCATCGACCGCGGGGAAATGAATGGGACATTACTAGATACAAAAAGTCCGGCGTTCACCAATATTACATAATATTCTGCAGCTGGGTCTTTTCATTGTCCATCCGTGGATGCTGCGCGTTGTAGAACACAAAGAACTCTCGGTAAATATTAATGGACACCGTGCTTGCGCTTTGCCAAATGTTAATTTTTCACTACAGCTATTCATTGGATGGAAACTTTTCAACTTTGAAACACCAAGGAACTGTAGAAAATAATTATTTATTATTGGCTAATTTATTCTGTGAGCACATGAGCTGAAAAAGGTTCCAAAACCGTTTTTTAGTTACACTTGAAAGTACAGTCTCGATTCGCTCATAAAACCGACATAGTGAAGAAAAAGGTCACGAAATGGGCAATATCTCTTTTGGTTTGAAACCAATACAGGTAGGAGATATCATGATCATCATAAGGTCGTCAGTCCTAAGACTGGTTGGACACACTCGTCCACTCTTTCCTATCCTGAACAATCTTCGCATTTCCCTAAAACTAGAACAACCCACAGGGTGGTGGGGGATCGAAAGAGGAGGTCTCCCCCACCACTGTACCATAAAAAGTTCGTGGCGGTCTCACCCCCATAAAAAGTTATGGGGGTTCAAAGTTAATAAATATGCCAATTTTTATACATTTCTAGGCATGTAAATATTTATATAGTCATTCTTAAACAATATTCAAAGGTAAAACTAATGAAAAATACATAAAAATATTGAGAAAGTTATATAAAACATTATTTAAATAACTTTATCAATAGGGTAAGTTAGGTTATCGGGTTTTGTTCAAGTGACCACCCTCTTTCGATCCCCCACCTCCACCCGCTTTAAAATATTTTTTTTATTGAATTTTATTTGAATTATATATATCATATATATAAATTGACAAAATAATCAACTTTCAACCCCGATAACTTTTTATGGGGTTGAGACCGCCGCAAATTTTTTATGGGGTTTTACTCAGGTGACCACTCTCTATCGATCCCCCCTACCCTCTTTCGATCCCCCCTACCTCCACCCTATCTAATCCCTATAACTTTTTATGGGGGTGAGACCGCCACAAACTTTTTATGGGGGTGAGACCGCCACGAACTTTTTATGGTACAGCGATAGGGGAGATCGGCTCTTTCGAACCCACCCACCCCCACTCCCATCGGGGGTGGAAGCCATCATCTAGTCATTTACCCAACCCACATAGGTAGGAGATATAGAAGCGTATATTTTCATCTGCCTTTAACTTCTGCAAAGCAAAATCCATGAAATTCAAACTTGGCCAGCACCATACTTCAGTTTACATCCAAGAGATGAAGTAAATCCGAAAATCTTTCGGTAAAAAAAAATGAATTGTATTTGTTTGGCCCCACCCAGATCTAATGCGTGTACATTAATAAAAGACATTTATGATCTCATGAATACATTGTCTGAGTACCTACAGAAAACTCCCAGGTCTTTAAATATAATTACACGTACAACTACAGTGCCCTGGTTGTACTACCGCCACGATATTTCGGAACGAGAAAACCGAGGCAGAAAGAAAGAGTAAGAAGGTGGACGACATACATACATACATACATACATGGCAGGGCCGTATGATTTATACACAGGCCGGGCAATATTTGACAAGTCATGGAACCTATAATGAAAACATCTCATGGACAGATCGCTAGTCATTTCACCGCCTCCTTCGTGACTTTTGACGCTAACGTACTTCGATGATAGATTAGCCGGAGTTTTAACTCATACATATTTATTCGCTAGACAGGTTATATGTATGTATATGTGCCTGTGTGTGTGTATGTATATGTTTATGTGTTCATACATGGATTAGCTTTGTCTTTAATCTGCATTTTGTGTAATCATCTTCGGCCTATCAAGGCCCTGCGCAATAATTTTAATAAACATTTAGGAGTGGCGTCATTTACTAGGTAGGTAGGTAGGTAGGTACTCAACTAAACTGCTAAAAAATGACAGATGACCTTTCCATCCACCTGAAGATGACGAAGTTATCGAAAACTGCATTTATTTTCAGATGTCACATATGAAACCATAACAAAACAACAATTTGAAACAAACAAAATAAAAGAGACTTTCTACAGCAGTGGAATGTAAATCGTAAATGTGGCATTCGCTTTTCCTCTTTTTTATTTGCATAAGTATACTTCATAAAGTATCAATGATCATCGTTCAAAACAAGCTAGCTAGAAGCATCTCATGATCAATTCGAGGAAGTCTTCGTATCTCAGACTGATATTTCCGGTGTAATTTTGATCTCGCACTTTGAATTCTTCCGTGAATTTCTGGACTTGTACGCAGAACACTATAAACTGGTCCAAGGATATTTTCCTGGCTTGTGGATCGCTGCGTGAGATGAGAAACTTGATGAACTCTTTGGAAAAGTTGATATCCATTTGACGCAGGGCGTAATCAAGTTCAGTCTCGGATAAGAATCCTGTCTTGTCTCTGTCGTACGCGTTAAATGCCCCAACCCACTGTTTAACGCAGAAGTACAACACTTCAAATTCTTTAATGTCTAAACCGCCAGCTTTGTCCAAATCGAAAAGCCTCACTACAAACTTGCACGCTGCATCTGAGAAATGCTTTCCCTGGAAGATTTCGAAAGCCTGTTGAAGTTCTTTGGCAGTTATCTTGCCCTTTGTTTGGGTGTCCATCGATTGGAAAAGCTTGTGAAAATCGGATGGATTCACGCTCGTTGGCAGCTTAGCGGACACTTTTGATTCTCCGCTAGTGATGTCTCCGTACATTTTAAGTGGACGTTTTGGCACTAAAAAAAGTCGTGTACTACATATTTTTGATACGATAATGTTAATCAATTGCAACTACCTTCGGGATTCGCTTGGGTCTCATCTTGTTTGGATAAGAAACTTTGGTCTTTGCTCACCGATCCGGGTTGGGATCCTAACGACATCTTTTACCAAACGACGTGGTAATGAAGAAGAAACGAACAAGAATTTTGACTAGTTTCACAGTTATTATTTACACAAACTGCCAAAAATAATCAATGCCAAATGCGTTTGTTTCTCATAATAAAATATGCAAGCTACTTGATTGGAAAAGTTGACAAGATTGTGTACTCATCAACTTTAGTTTATGAAAGTCAAACAGATGCAAACATGATACAAACTGTATGACGAATGAAGGGTGTGCGATTTCCTTTTTTGACAACGTCTTCAGTAAGATTTGTAAGATTTGCTGATCTAGTTAGTGTTCTATTCTTTTATAAACTCCTTAATAAACTAACTCCAATGTCAAGACTACGATCCATGCTTCGTAATTTCGACAAAACGTTCTTATCATTACTAAGTTAACCATTTAGATATCATTGCTCATCATCATCATAAGGTCGTCAGTCCTAAGACTGGTTGGACACGTACCTCCACTCTTTCCTATCCTGAGCTAAACTTCGCATTTCCCTAAAACTAGAACAGCCCACATCCTTAACTATTTGCGAACAGTAATCTAATCTAGGTCTACCACAACCCCTCCTAACTCCTGTTTCTGCCTCTAATATGTCTCTGACTAGACCTTCATGTCTGAGAAGGTGTCCTACCAACCTATCTCGCCTATTTTTTATTGACTTCCATAGAGTCCTCTGTTCTCCTATTCTTTCCAATACCTTTTCACTTCTAACCTTTTCTACCCACGATAACCTCACCATCCGCCTATAACACCACATAACGAACGCTTCTAACCTTTTCTTTTCCGCCGCGCCTACCGTCCATGTTTCGCACCCGTACAATGCCTTGCTCCAAACATATACCTTTAACAATCTTTCTCGAATTTCTAAATTAACCGTTCGCGAGCATAGAAGTGACTTCTTTTTATTAAAGGCGACACGACCCTGCGCTATCCTCTGCTTTATATCCCTACTACTCCTTCCATCCTCACTTATCTGACTTTCTAGGTATCTAAAATCAGCCACTTCTTCTAATTTTTCGTCTCCTATCTTTATATTCGCTCGTTGCCTACTTTTTCTTCCCTTGCATACCAGTATTTTAGTTTAACTTTTATTTATTTTCATACAGTACTGATCTGTCAGGACCGCTTCCATTTTATTTAAAGCTATCTCTAGGTCCTCCTTGCTAGATGCTAATACTGCTATATCATCTGCAAATCTAAGTATACTAATCTTTTGCCCTTGCACATCTATCCCTACAGTTATACTGTCTTTAACGATGTTGATGGCGTCTTCGATGTATAGATTAAAAAGTAGCGGTGACAGTGTGCATCCCTGTCTGACTCCCTTTCTAATATTTACTTCTCTACGTTGCATCCCTAGCTCTATAACTGCCTGTTGCTCTTTATACAAACTAAGTATCACTCTTCTATCTTTGTAACTCATCCCTACATTTTTAAGTATATTTAACATCTTGTCCCATTTAACATTGTCAAAAGCTTTCTCTAAATCTACAAATCCTATGTACGCACTGTTTCCTTTTTCTATTGTTTTCTCTATTGTTACCTGTAAAGCTAGAATGGCCTCCCGCGTTCCTCTATTTCTTCTAAACCCAAATTGATCTTCCCCTAATAGTTTTTGCTATAGATCTTCATTTATCTTTGACATATTCCGCATTTAACCTTGTAGAAATATGATTTTATGTCATTGTAAAAGGTTCAATCTGGAATTGACGGTATTGATTATAGGTATACGACCGGAATAAGTCAGGTCCCGCTTTAGTACCTTGTGAAACACCGTATTTATTAGAAGAAGTATAAGAAATATCACCATTATGAGTACATACCTTGTCTTGTCTCCTTCTGAATTAGCATATTATAAACTCTTACGTCTGTGTATCAATAAGGAATACTAAGTACAATTGAAAATTTATCTGATACTTTATATAGTAATAATATTATTAAACGATTCGTGCGGTTTCTGTACGAATATCGCGTAGATGTATGTCGAAAAGGGCAACTGAGGCGGCGGTTGCAATGCGATGTTGGTGCCGGTGGTAGTTCATTTGCTATGCTAAGCGCAACGCGTCCGGATTGCAAACGTTGCCATTGATTGTATGCCCAATTACACCCCCGAGATCATGTTTACATAAGTAATCAGCGAGCGGCCTGCTACGTTGACATAGCGAGAGACAGTAACTCTCTTGTTACGTACGCTAACGTTGTGTTACTTGAATTAACTGTTTCCCTGTTGCCAATCGCGTCGCGGTGTTGGGCGTCCTCGCCGACGTCGATTTCGTCGCCGCCGTCGCGTCGCATCGTTACCATCCACAAACCGAACTTTGCAGCCACTTTATGACGAAAATCGTTATCATCCTTCTCCACTATAGAATACCTACTCTTATACTTTGTAACTCTGACACTTTTCCAAAGGTAGTTTTATCAAAAGTAATATATAGTTAATCAGTATTGGTAGGTACCACTTAAAATAATTCTTTTTGGGGTCTACACATTTATGTATGTACTTACTCTTCCAGTGATTTGTCCTTTGGTAGTGAAGACTGGTTTTAAATAACTAATTATGATTAATTAATTTCTGTTATCATCATCATAAGGTCGTCAGTCCAGTCCTAAGACTGGTTGCACACTCACTTCCATTCTTTCCTATCTTAAAGTAATTTTCGCATTTTCCTAAAACTAGAACAACCCACATTCTTAACTATTTGCGAACAGTAATCTAATCTAGATCTTCCTCTACCCCTCCTATGTGTCTCTGACTTGACCTTCATGCCTGAGAAGGTGTCCTACCAACCTATCTCGCCTATTTATTATTGACTTCCTTAGAGTCCTCTGTTCTCCTATTCTTTCTAATACCTCTTCATTTCTTACCTTCTCTACCCACGGTATAGTCATCATTCGCCTGTTACACCACATTTCGAACGCTTCTAACCTTTTATTTTCCGCCGCACTCAATGTCCACGTTTCGCATCCGTACAGCGCCGCGCTCCAAGCATACACCTTTAACAATCTTTTTCGAATTTCTAAATTAACCGTTCGCGAGCATAGATGTGACTTCTTTTTATTAAAAGCGACTCGACCCTGCTCTATCCTCTGCTTTATATCCCTTCTAGTCCTTCCGTCCTGACTCATCTGACTTCCTGGTGTTAGAATAATAATTGTTTTCTGCTTTTATTCTGCTAATTTTTCATTAAAATAAACTTCTATCGTTGTTACAATACTTCGAATCCTTATTTAAAGATGGCGATCTAAAACTTTAAAATACTTCTTGTCCTTTCGTTTCTTTAATTTTTTCTTTTGGCAACTATTATTGTGATGGGTTTCCCCTAAAGTTTGAATGTGAACGTTTTCGACCACTATAAATTTCCGTGAGACTTTTCTTTGGGAATCTGTCTATGTTTATAATAATTTTACCCTTATATACGAATAGCTGATGGTGTCTCATATCCGATGCTATTGTTAAAAGAATTAGCAACTAATATGAATAGAAATAGTCTTTTTTTTACAATTAGAATATCTATCAAATTTCTTCTATTCATATATCTGTTAATATATGGTATTTTTATGTACAGAATCTCTTTACATTAGGAATTATGGTACTCCATTGTTCTGGATGCCGTTCAATTAACTCAGTTAACTAGGAGGCAAATTGGAGCAGGGCAAATAACAATGAGCCCCCTCTCGGTTCGACAATGAGATATGCTAGTGCCGTTGGTCCCTAAATGTTATCTAAATAATAGCCACCCACACAGGATGAGCTAATCAGATAATATTTCAGCAAACGAAACAAAGAATGGTATATTAATACGCTTTGTCTCCTTCGACCGCTTCAAATTGGTTGTTCCTTTCGCTAGTCGTATTAATTCCAAATACACCCACTCCATTGGTTAATTGACTCAAATAAATTTGTTCGGCTAATCGGCTACGAAGGACGTTACATGAGAGAATAAAAAAATAACGACGAGAGCGCACTGTTTATTAGGACATGTCCGTTGACTTAAAATATTACGAAGAAACAAATGCTTTGTTTTTAAGTGAAACTTCTTATTAACAAATACGTAGTACCTTTAGTAACTTGAGTTTATAAAAATATTAATTTATATTGGTTAAATGACTCGTAGATATAGGATGACTTCGAAGATTTCGATTTTTTAATTGTTTTCTTACAATTTTATATTTATTTAATTTAAAAATTCAATCGAACTATCTTATAACTAACACGAAAGACCTAAACATTTTGTTTGTTGTAGACGATTTTTATTAATAAGTAGGTACAAATTGCTAAAGACAGTCTAAAATACATATGTCTATACCACACATAATAGCATCCCGAGATAAAAATGTTCAGTCTCTCAGAGTCTCTGAAAACGAGATCTCTGTCTCTCATCGAGTCTCTCAGGTGTCGCTTAGAGAGACTGTCAAAGAAACTGTTTAGGGTCTCTGAACGAGAGACTCGAGTCGCTCGTAGAGAGATCCTCATTTCGTATCCAGTCTCTTAACGAGAGACTCGAATCTCTCAATAAGTGGTGTCTCGAGAGACATGTTTAAAATTGTTTATGTTCAACATATTTTAGAGATCCCAGTCTTTCTAAGAGAGACTCGAGTCTCTCAATTTTTCAGTTTTATTCATTCAGTCTCTCTGTGAGAGACACGAATCTCTGAATTAACAATTTTATCGTTCGAGTCTCTCATACAGATACTGTGAGAGATTTATAAAAACACCTAGGCAATAAGGAAGAGACTGTGAAAGACTGTGAGAGATACTCTCAGAGACGCTGAAAGACTCTGAGGGACTGGAGAGAGACTGCAAATTTTTGTCTAGGGATGCAGTTGTATAATTTATATTTTATACTGTAAAATAGTCAGCTAGTTTGTTTTGAATCTTTAGAATTTTAGTATAGATTATAGATCGCGATCTTACCAAGAAATATTAGTTCGTTATCCGTTTTACCCGATCAGACTGGCTAATTCCCCTTTTTGTTAAAGCCGATCGTTCATTATAACCGAGTATATCGTCTAAATATCTTTAATGAATTTTGAGATTGTGTTCAACCATCAAACTCTTGCACGTTCCAAAAAATTAACAATCAGCTGCAAAAACATAAACCATGATTCTAATA